AATTTAAAAATTGCATTTTTTTAAGCGTGTTACCGTGAATATATATATATATATATATATAGTAACTTATAGGACCACATTGTGGATGTCCTGAGGAAATTCGGGCTTATATTGTATTCATACTTGGCCTGTATGAATACAGGTCATGTGACCAGATAGTGCAAAACCATTACATATATGTTTGGAACATTCCCGCATAATATGATCTGATCAGTGATCTAGCGTACCTTTGAAAGGACTCTATATCCTGACTATCTGCGCACCTGGAAAGTCATGGATTTCGGTATTGAACGAAATTTATCATGATTTTAACTATTTTTTTAAAAAAATCATTGAAAGTCATGGATTTGGATGGCTGAAAAATCTCATTTTTAAAGTGGAATTTATCTCCTCAATTTCACAGTGTTTTAAATATCTGAATGTGTTACAAAATCCTCCCTCCTAGTCACATTTTATTAAAATATAAAATTTTCTTATGGTGTTCTTTAAAAATTATGGTATTCTTAAATAATGAACGAAAGAACGTCATTTCTAGTGTAAATTATATTTTAAAATCCTGTGATTTCAGAATTTATTTATTTATTTTTTGTTTTATCAATTTTAAATGCTAACTGAACCAAACCAGTCATTGGCGAATTTTTTTATTCCCTTATGAGAACACAAAAATCAGGAGCATTTCTTTCTTTACTGATAATCAAGAAAAGTATCTTTAGAGTATAATTCTGCAGAAAAAAAGAAAGAAAAAACGTCCTAAAAATTCTGCAGAAAAGGAAAAAAATGCTGCTGCATGATTGAGTGGATAAAGGAGAATTATTAAATTTATTGTTATGTTTTTGTCGGAGAAAATAGTAACTTCGGTAAGTCATGAAAAATTCTTGGAATCAGTCATGAAAATTAATGGATATGAAAATCTAAAATGTAACAGATACCCTCGCGATAGAAGCTTTTCATTTTAATTGTGTCTTCACTTCCACTACAAATTTAAATTTAGAAACAGGAATTCGTTTAAACTTCTTGAATTCGGTATCGATATTTTGAAATGTTTCAATAAAATTAGTGTAGGATTACTCAATCACTTCGTAATCCTGAGTTACTTATTATCCTGAGTAGTCTTAATTATCAGATGATACTATACAGCTTTATTGTTTTAACGCTACTGAAACCGGTTCGTACTTGTTTACGTTTGTGTATCAATGGGTTAGCATTGTAATGCAATAATTTAAAAATAAATACAAATGGGAAGCATATAAAAGAAATCTCCTGACTAAAAACCCATTACATGTATGTTTAAATACAAAAGTATTGCCTATAAACTCGTGCAAATATTAAAAAAAAAACTACAGCGGGTCTCATAATTTGATCTAAGTATTATAATACAGTGGTTCTTAACCTTTTTAAGCCGCGACCCAAATTTGAGAAATATGTTCATGTCGCGACCCAAAAAAAAGTCTAAATTTTTTCGTTGCTTTATTTTAGATCGTATTTTTAAAAAATCTTCAATCCTACGATGATGATTTTTTATAACTTACAAATTTTTTATTTATTTTTTTAATAATTAAGATAAACAAAAGTATTTTTCGATCCAAGGAAAATTTAATTAATAATCAAGTGTTTTTAATAATTTTTATTGACCAAATTAAAATATATTTATAACTTTTTGAAAATAATTGACATTTTAACTTATTCCTTGACTTAAAAACCGCCACTCCTGTGGAACTATTTTTCTACCTCTTAGAGAGGGCCCTTATGTTAATTCTTTTTCACTTTTTTATTTTCCTTTTTATTTTAAACATTAACTACTAAGTATCTTTTATTCTTATATTAATTTTGCACCTTGATATGCTAAACTAATTTTGAGTCATGTGCCTTTTTTAATTATTATGTACGAACGATGATTAAGGGTATAGAGTTACCCAGGTACCTCTTTAAGCCTAGGCTGAGTAAGCCACAATGACTTCTTCTAGGAGGTGTTGGTATTGCTTATTATTTGGTGTTTTACTAACTTTTTTGATTCGACTCAGCGCGACCCAATTTTGGGTCGCGACCCACAGGTTAAGAACCGCTGTTATAATATACTGAACGCCATATTATTGTAGATACATTAGGCCTAATCAATGTAGCTGACGTCCATAAAGTTATACCTGATATAATAAATATTCTATATCGATATAATATATCGTCTAATTTATCCTATCGTCAAATTTATATTATATATCGCCCAATATAACCCACTGACACACTTACGTAAACAAGTGCAAAAACAGTGGCGTAAAAACAATAAAGCTGTATAGAGTATCACCTGATAATTAAGATTTCACATAGACTCTTATAATGCGTCTAATAATTTGTCCAGGGACTGCATCTTATCATTTCTTAATGTTTTTCCAGAAGGTGTTGAGTCACGTGGCTTCCAGTACACTGTACCAGGATCATCCGCTCCACCTAGACCTCCTCATCCCAGCAGTCAACCCTCCTCCTCATCGGGTCATTATTCTACTCTACAGAATTATGGGAGTGTCATACCACCCTGTGATCCAAGGTTCAGTCAGTTTATGATTGACAACAAACTAGCAACACACATAGTTAGCCTTCCGTAAGTACACATTTCTGTGAGTCACTCAGATGTTACTGTTCACTTCAAACTGCCTTTCTAAGAGCCGTGGTGGTTCAGGGGATAGAGCGAGATGAACCGGGTTCGAATCCCAGCGAGGGCCGATAGATACGCTTTCAGCATGCGGTTCGCACCGGCCACAATGCTGACGTAAAATATCCTCAGTGGTAGACGGATCATGGGTTAGAGTCACCTTTCCGTCAAGTTAACCGCGGGTAGTTCTCGTGGTCTTCCACTTCTTGTACGCAAATGAGGGATAATTCCAGCAAAAAGTCCTCCATAAAGGCAAATTTCTCCCCATACTCGAACTAGGAGTTCCTTGTCTTCTGGATTGGGTTCAAAATTAAAAGGCTACGGAGTTGAGCATGATTAGTCGTAAATTCAAAAATTGGGTTGGCTGTTCAACGACAGTTTCAAAATAAAATAAAATTAAACAACTGAGAATAGAGAAATGAATGAGAAAAAATAAAACAAGATGTAACCGTGATAACCAAAATGAACTACTTTGGCGTGTGTATTTCCAAGCAGAATCGAGGAGAGACGTTGAACTTATGACATTAATCTGCATTTCTATGAATGAAACAAGATTCCAGAGCACCAAGATGAGCTGATGGAGAAGAATGGGAAAAAAATTACAATTAAATTTATGTCCCAAGTGCCAAACGACGTGCGGCATTGAATGATACAGCGAGTTCTTGTATTTCCAATGAGCTGCACAATCGGTCTTGCCGATGAGCAAACCTAATGCGTTCTCCAGAGGTGGTATCCACTCTTTCAGGACCACCACAATGGGTGAGACACCGTTGGTCATATTGATTTGGACGTCTAGCTTCTGCCACACTAGATGGCAGCACCGAGACTCTATTTGGATGCTAAAGTGCACTAGGAATTTAATTTTGCCGGAAGTGCCAAGAGCTAATAAGGCACTCCAGGGATCTTTTACATGTATCCCGAAAATCCGGTGTCTGGGCCGGGGATCGAACCCGCAGCCTTGGGCTCAGAAGGCCGCCGACAAACCAACTGCGCCACCCAGCCACTCAGCGACTTCTTGATAACAGACGCATTTGTCGTGTTTTCTAAATTTAGAGTTCGTTTAATTAAATAGGAATTATCTTATGCCCAAAAATATCTTATTATAATTATCTTATTATAATTATCTTATTATCTTATGCATTATCAAATTATATTTTTATAATTATCTTCTTATCTTATTAATTATCAAATTATATTTTTATAATTATCTTATTATAATTATCCTATGCAAAAAAAGAAGCGAAAAAACTAATTACCCTGAATAATTTTTGATCTATTTATCAAATTTTTGTCTACTAGGACTGAATCCTAATGTTTCGAGGGGATTTGTTTGATAAAAGTTGATTTGAAAACATTAATCCTAATGTTTAATGTCTTCAAATCAAATTTTGAAATAGCCTGCTATTTCAAAGGCAATTTTTCAGAAACTATTCGATCGATTTCGTTGAAATTTTTGCATTTCGTCATATAAAATTACATTCTTTGAAATGATGGAAAAATTTGGATATCATATCATTCAAAAGTTTTCAACTGTTATCAAACAAAATAATCAATAATTATTAAAAATAAATTATTTTTTTGCAAGAAGTTATCTTTTGGAAATTGAGAGAAAATGTTTTCAATTCGATTAAAAAGAAGCATTGGATATATAGCAAAATACGTAAAAAGTAAAATTAACATTATGGGGTGTAAACTTCAGACCGCTCTCCCAACCCAACTATGGGGGCCACATTCCCCAGATTCTGTCCACCGTATTTTAAAATATCGTCTGCACTAACTAATTATATTATATTTTAGATCACCTCCTCGAAACATTAAGATTGAGATATAGTACGTGAAAATTCGATCATAAGATTCTGATTCTTAATCCGTACATAACTTAAATCATAATCTGATTTTTTTCCTTCTATGAACCATATCCTAAGTGGTAGCTTATTTGCTGATAAAGACACTGAGAGTTTGACGCAGTAGTTGATCAGCACTTATAACAATTTATTCTACTGAATTCAATGTTTTTAATACACTATCTTTGTCAAAAGTATCCGGACAACCCGGAAGTTATCCATACTACGGAGGGTTTCAACCCTCCGTGGTATGGAGCGTTTTGAGGCACATCTTAATATAATATTGCTTCCCCTTTTGCATCGATGACAGCCTGCAGCGTTTCCACCAGTTTTTGATAGGACACATCTGTGCTTACAGTGAGAATTTGACTGGCAACATAATCTGCTCTCTAATTCGTCCCAAAGGTGCTCTATATCATCGGGCCTCAGAGAAGGCCAGCTTTTTGAACACCCATTTCGTCAAACCAAGTGACGAGAAATGAGCCGGCACCATGGTGTTTGGAATGCTGTACTCGAGCACTGCTTTCTTTGACAGTTGTTTCACCAAGACTGTTTCTGACCTCTTGATGTTCCGGCAGTGGAGATGAAATTTCTTCTCGATTCCATCAGCCATGGGTCCCGCAGTGGACTGATAGTAAAGACGCGGCTCCCGCATCGCTGGTTGCGGTCAGTAAGCGGATGTAATCACTCCCAAGTCATCGGGGTATCAAAGCAAGGGAGCCATCCAGTTTGCAGAGGATCAAAATTGCGACTATTTGCAACTACTTTAGGCTTGAGGCGATTATGGCAAATTTTTTTTCGGAATCGGGGGAAGGCAGAGCACCCATTTCGTCAAACCACTTCTGTAGTCCCTGTGTAAATGGAAGAGAAATGGAGAGTGCAGCATTGTCCACATACACAGACCCCCCCACACCATTATGCTTCCACCACCACAACCCGGATAACTTTTGGACTGATAGTGTATCATTCTTTTTGTTTTCTTCTTAATAGTATTTTTTTCTCTTCTAGCCCAAAGCCAACTGTTTGAGGAAGAGAGAGATTGTAAATATGTATCCATCTGCAGAGAATATGTATATAAATGTCTATAACATTCACATACTATGGATGTTTTTATTTTTATCACAGATCCTTAGATGGAAAAGAAGTGTGATAATTAAATATATTTTTTAAAAAAACAAATCTATCCACTTGAATGGCTTTTTCTATTTTTCATTAAATTGTTATCTTGCAATGAAACACATTTCTTTAATTTCGAGTAGGGTTGTAACGTCGTGGGAAGAGATATGCTTTTCCAATGTAACTCTTTTATTATTACAGCGGTTGCCAAAAAGACACGGGGGTTCTGAGAGTTTAACCAGCTATGTTTTTTGTAACTGTGCCATGTACAGGGTATATGCCCACCTGGAAAGTCATACATTTTGGTATTGAACAAAATGTGTCACGAAATGTTGTGATTTTAACTATTTTTTAAAAAAAAAAGGAAAGTCATGGATTTAAGTCGCCGAAAAATCTAATTTTTGAAATTGATATCAGCCCCCCAATTCCATGGTGTTCCGAAAATCTGAATTTGTTACAAAATCCCCACTCATGGTCATATTTGATTAAAATATAAAATGTTTTTATTCTGTTCTTTAAAAAATATGTTGTTCTTTCATAAAATGAAAGAAAGAACATCATTGCTAGAGCGAATTATCTTTTCAAATTCTGTGATTTCAGAATTTTTGTTATTATTTTTTTACTTTCTATTTTGAAATTTTAGCTGAAGCAAGCCAGTCATGGGTGAATTTTTTTTATTATTCCGAAATAAGAACAGAAAAGTCAAGAGTGTTTCTTTCCTTTCCGATGCGCAAGTAAAGTATCTTTAGAATATAATTCTGCAGAAAAAAAAGAGGGAATTATCAGTCATTTCTGGAGGGAATTATCTTTTAAACTTCTGATTGCAGAATTTTTGTTATTATTTTATCAATTTAAAATTCTAGCTGAAGCAAGCCAGTCATTGACGAATTTTTTTATTCCGAAATGAGAACAGAAAAATCAGGAGTATTTCTTTTCTTTCCGATGAACAAGAAAAGTATCTGCAGAAAAAAAGAAAAACAAATTATTTGCTTTTGTATTTTTTCCCAGCTATTTTATGGCTTCCACTCTTTCTTCCACTCTGTTTTTTAAGTTTAAAATCTATAAATATATGAAGGTACAGAGTATAAAAGTTTTGATTATACCTATCATTTCAATGAATGTTATTATAATGCTTTTTAAATTTATTGTTGTGTTTTTGTCGGGAGAAAATGGTAATTTCGTGAAGTCATGAAAAATTCTTGGAATGAGTTGTGGAAAGAAATGAAAAGTCCTGAATTTCAAATTTAAAATGTAGCACATGCCCTGTCATTCAGAACTAGATTAGATTCAGACCTGCGAATTCCTTTCTTTAACGTAAAATCAAATTTTAAAAGACTAGTATTGATAAAACGATAAAAAAAAATTTTTTTTTCTTCAAATCCAATATTTGAAAAATAGTATCTTTAGTATCTATCTACAATGGACTCTATTCATGAAATCGGGGTTGTTCTAAAAGAAGAGTGATTACTTAGGATTATACACAGCCAAATAAAGAAAAAATTGGGAACCGCTGATGCATGAAGCATTCTTTTTTTGTGCAACGATGACAAGCTGCAGAAAGAAAAAAAGTGACTTTTGATCATAATTTCAATTACGTTTAATATTTTTTTATGAGCAAATTGTCTAAAAATACCTCTTACTACATTGATACAAAGTATATGCAGTCTCTGGCCAAATTATTAGAAGTCTTCTAAGATTCTATGTAAAATCTTAGTTATCAGGATTCTATGTAAAATCTTAGTTACCTAATAATATGGCCGGAGACTTTAAGATTATAAATGTATGTTTTCTCTGAAGAAAGATCAGTCGCAGTTTATGATTGTATTGTAATTTATTTGAGAATTAATAATCGCCAAATGTGGGTACCCAGTGTAAATGTGTTGATTATATGAATAACTGTTGCCAAAGTTGAAATAAAATGTATATAAAATTTTTATAAAAAAATACACAATTTTTAATTCGTTGATTCAATATTATACATATTTAGAAAAGTTATATAGAAAAAATTCAGTTATATTTGTAGAAAAAAAAGAGACTAAACTATGTACATTGTAGCCTTGTTGTATATTAATAAAAGCTTTAAAATTTAATGTGCGTTATTATTTTGAATTGTTATTATTTTGAAAAATATTTCCTGTGATAGCATTAAAACATCCTCTTATTGTGTTTTAATTTTTATTGCAGAAGTGAACAGAGAGGACGAATCTGTGGAGTGTGTGCCACTAGGGGGCACTGAAATACATTGTTAAAAATCCCAAGCCACGTTACAGCAAAAAATTTTTATTATTTACTGGCCACATAAAATGGAGCTACAGTTTACCATATCTTGGTATTTTCACTAGCTCCAAATATGAGTAGAAAGTGGCACCAAAAGTAGGCATTTTGAAAAATGCAAAACACCTATTTTCATTCTTTTTTTTTTGTTTTATAAAAGCAGAGGAAGGTTACACCATTATTAGGTATTTTTATTGCATTCAAATGCAGGCCAAGGGTTAAACTATTCACCGTAAGTAGGTAATTTTATGGCATACAACTAACTATTTTATACCACCAGCCAAATTTATAAAGGCAACATAAAAGAAATGAACTTTAATGAATGCAAATAAAACATTTATTGATGTAAATAAGTTGATACTTGAAACAGCATACTTTAGTCGTCCTGAAACATCGAGTTGTAAAGAAATGATGACGTCGTAAACAAATATCATTCAGTTTACAGTCACAGTCAAAGTTTGTGTCTTTTTTCCAAATTTTGGTCCAGTCAGTTGCACCATAGAAGTATATATCTGAGTAATACTTCTCAATTTATGGTGTCACTAAAATAAAATGGTATAACTAAACTTTGGGAAAATGATAAACTTTGCACAAAATACTGGCTAACCTCTTCCCGATTAAACTAAGGTTTCTTACGCATAAAAAAACTCTAATTTTAACTCAAAACTTGTGCATCATGTTTTGTTTTAGTGACTTGTATTTATTAATAAAATTAAAAAATATGTTGATTTTTTGCATTTTTTTTCCATCAAAATAATTGGTAAGAGAGGCGCTTAAAGATTTTCCCAGTTTCTTTTTACAGATTAGTGGCATTCCAGAATTACATATCAAATTCATTAACATTTTTTGAAACCATTAAAAAAAAGTAAAAACCTGTACAATATGAGCAGCCATCCTATACGGATTGAGGAAGAAAAAGATTTTGAATGTAGTGCACGCTCTACTTTGTTGTAGAAGAGGTGTGTGAAAAAAAAAAAAACATTAATTACCTCACTTTCATTTTATTGCTTACCACATGCGTGGCTGCTTAAGGATATTTTTACTTACCTCATTATTAAACTTAAATATTCTTAAAATATTGTTTTTTTTACTTTTCGATTGTCAGCTGATGAAAGTTCGTAACTGAGAAGAACAATTATAGTCACACATATATAATTCAGGGTGAGCAGCGTTTTTAAAAAGTACTTAAAGGTGCTTATTTTCGATTTTAAAAAACCCTTAAAAGTGCTTTTTTTTAAAATTGCGTGTTTTTTAAAAGTCCTTTATGTTCCCTTTTTAAAAATGAGAATTTTTTTTTATCATGTCAGTTTTTGCAGCGAATTATACCAAAATCGGCGTTGTTTTCACACTATTCAATTCAATGCTTTCACAATTCATGCAACCACAATAATATTATTATTAGGATATGCGCAGCAATGAAAATTCATCTTGCCTTGCATATATTATAATTTTTTTTATTAGAGCGCTTATCCTAGGTATATTAGGGGAGATTTCTGTATCGTTATCTGTTGAAAGAATAATCGCCAAGTCTTGGCAACTTACGGCCACCGGCCCGCAAGATATTAGAAAAGAATTCGCAGAAAATGACCAACACGTAGCCACCCCCGGGCAAACACCTATACGCTTTTTTTTAAAATTTTTTTTTCAATTTCAAGTTTAAAATCTATTTGGCCCCTTGGCGATTGTAGTTGTCGTAACAAATCACGATACAAAAATATTCCTTTAAATTTTTTTAAAAAAATAAAGAGTTCAAAAATATTTTTAGAGTGCTTGAAAAGTGCTTATTTTTTGTTCAAACATTTGGCTACGCACTCTATAATTCTATAATTTTAAATCAAATGTACAGTGCACAAAAAGAATAATAACGTAACATTCTGACACGCTTCCTTATTGAACTCCGAAGTGTCATGCATCATTGGCATGCGCTTCATTACATATGTATATATCTATATATATATNGTATCTTATAGTGCGTATAATAATTTTGCCAGGGACTATTCATATATATTGTAAAAAGTGATTGCTCAAATCTGGAATTCATAACTTATTTTACTTTTCAAGAAGAAGAAAAAAATTAATCGCGTTTAGAAGCTTTCGCAGGTCGTCAACCCAAGTTACGCTAAAAAACACCTCTAGGAAGTCTCCCAAATAGTCACCTTTTTCTGAAAATAATTGCATTTTTTAGCCTGTTCAGTCAAGAAAAGTTGTCATAGTCGTCTCAGGCCAAAAATAGTTGCAAATAGTCGCATTTTAGTCACCTGTATAAGCCAAGTAGTCATTGAATGAAATACGTAAATGACCCTTCCGTGTGAATGAACCGAGGTGATCGAATGGAGAGCAAGAAATCGATATTTCCCGTCATGCATCTCTTCCTCTCTCTCATCCTTCATCTGGATTGGCTTCTGGAAAGGATAGACATCATTAGACTGGGGGATTTCTTTTGCTGCCAGACTGGGGGCATATTTTATACTCTTTGATACCTCGACCCTTGTTATTTTTTGACAATTTGATATAGGTAAATATAAAGGAATCGGAAAGACGTGGTAAATGGAAGATTAAGTCTTCCAATCGCCATTTTTTCTTAAAACTTTGTCTTCATTATTCGAAATGAACTTGGTAATTTGTACCCTATTTTGAGAAATGCTTTGCATTATTACCCAGAAAGCAAAGTAAGGTTTATTTTCACTCCGCAAAAATCTTTTAATGTAAGCCTAAAAAGGTTTGTTACGCGGTTTACCTGTAAACCTTCTAACCTTAAAACGAGAGTTGTGACCATCTGCTCTATTCAACGCACCTTGGAAACCAACCTTCTATATAAAAACCTTAAATAGAGGTCAACTTAGGGTTTTCAAGCGTGAAAAATTCTTTTTATAAAGCTAGTCTCAAGGTGAAAATAATCTTAAATCTAGGTAATTACAAGGTTTCTTTTCGTAAAGTCTTGTATGGTCAGCTAAAATCCGTCTTGTCTTGAAATTTTAATGGACAAAGCTTTAAAAAATAATTTTTAATCCTTTTAGAATGAAAGGGTTAAACTGCAATATTTTTGTTTTATTGTCAAAAGGTTTTTAGTACA